TATTGTGTTCCAAAACATGAATTTAAATTTTATAAAGTGGACCCCCCCTATTCAATGGGATCGGGATCCGATAAAAACCGGGATTTGAATGCATTTTAAAAAAACCCCAAAAATTTCTCCTTTGGGATCCGATTGGGAAAACCCGGGGATTCGATCGAAACGTTTCGAGAAAGTGTCTACGTAAAGGCCCGAACTGCCCCGTGGGGGCCATGTTTAAAAAACCAAAATTAAGGAGATGTGTGCAATGTGGCTTTAAAATGCAAACCTTTTTTTATGACAATCGCCCTAAACACAGGGGATTGCAAGCCGGCTGGGGACATTACAAATGAAATGTTTTGAAATCCCCTTTTGAAAAGTCATAAAGGAAAAAAAAAGGGACAGGGCCCTTATGGACAATATGTTTTTTCACAGAAATCCAGTGACCCCAAAACTGGGCCAGTGGCATTAACCCCTTTTAGGGTCCAAGGGCCCCAAAACTGGAGTCACCCCCAGTGTCCAAGAATTTTTTAAAAAAAAAAAAAATTTTTTTTTTTTCTTATGAAACGTAGAGGGAAACCTTTTTTTTTGAAGGAAAAAACAAAAAGTACGAAATTTGGTTGGGAAAAATTTACCCAAAAAATGCTCTTTGCAATTTTGAGGGGTCCCCGAAATTTACGAATCGGGGGATTTTGGGCCCACTTTGACTCCCATTTTAGGCCAATTACATTATTTCCCCAACCAAATTTTTTACATTTCACTAGTAAACTTCTTTTTCATCGATTGAGCACAAAAAAATTTGCCAACACCTGTTTTTAAAAAACAAAATAAAGGATCGGAAAATTTTTTAATTTGGCCCAATTTTTCACCAAGTTTAAAATATTCCAAATTTTAAAAAAGGGCCAGAATAACAATGTAGGCATCCTGGCAAATAAAAAAACAATTTCCCCCTGTTTTTAATTTTGTTATGTTTTTTGAGGCTTTACAAATAAAATTTCCCTTTTGATTTTTTTTTTCACATAATGAATTTTTTTTTCACACCAAAAAAAAGAAATTTAAATGTTATGCAAAAACGTAATAATTGTATAAATAAACATCACCATATTTGTGAAATAAAAATTTGACCCCCCCAGCTTATGGTATTAGACGTTTTGAGGTCGTTTTTTTCTCCCCTTTAATATCGGGAAAAATTTAACATTTCTGCTACTTTGGCTCAGTTTTCAAGCCATTTCCCCGTGCTAAAACCAATTTAAAATCATCTCTTTTTTGTAAATGTCTTTCCCTTCTATCAAATGAGACCCAAAAAATCGCAAATACCAAAATTTAAAAAAAAATACGAAAAAAAAACTGGGAAAGTTGCGTTTAATCGAAAAATTTATGATTTCATTTTTTTTCTCTCATTATAAAACAGTGTGCTGCAAGGGGCCCGTTTTTTTGTGGTGGGAAAACATAACCCCATAATGTAAATTTTCTCATATCTAAAACCCCAAAAGGGAACCAAAATTTTAAAAGTTTTTTCAGAGTGAGCTGAGCCATGGCGTAAAAACTACGGTTTGGGACCCGAACTAAAGCCGTAATTTTACCGGGGCGGACCCTGAAAGGGTTAAAAGAAAAAGGGGAAATAGCCCCGGAAAAGGACTTTCCCACCTTTAAGTCCTAATGGAAGGGGGATTCCCCTTCTAAACAGTAACAACTTCGACACTCTCCCCTCCTCCCATCCCATCAGTCAACACCAAATTTTTCATTAAAGGGGAATGTCAATTTTTTCAAATTTTGGAAAAGGGAATTATTTTTTAAATTGGGAAATTTAAAATTAATAATTTTAAAGTGGTAAAAATTTTTTTTTTTTTATACTTTGGGGGGTATTGCAAAGGAAAAAATTTTATTTCCATTATTTTTTTATGGGGGAAAATTTATTCACTTTTCGATATTTTTTGGGATTTTGATGAGCCTCAGGAAAGGATTAATATCGAAACCGGGGGTCCACTGTACATTATATACAGCATTGGTCTCTCAGGCCCCGAATGTTTTGTTTGGAAAAGAAAAAAAAATATAAAAAAAATAAAAAAAAGTAAGCAAGTATTGGAAAAACGTCGATGTTGCCGCCCCCCCCCCCCCGGGCATTTGGGGTTTTTGGGGCAACCCTTTTCAGCACTGTAAACTCGGTAAGTACTGATCAGAAAATTTTTTTTTTTTTTTATTACCTTCATAAAAATTACCCGTCCTCTTTAATTCTGTAAGAAAAAATAATTTTTTTTTTTTTTTAAAATTTGGCCTTGGACCCTGAAAGGGTTTTAAGGAAATTTGGGGCCCAAAAAAGGGGGCCCCAACCCTTGTCATTTAATAGTAAACCCGCATGGCTTTTTCAATACTTTTTTGGGGATTTTCCAAACCCCCTAAAAGTTTTTTCCCCTTTAAACCCCCTTTGCACACATTTCCCCTTTAAACCCCTTTTAGGGTTTTTGGGCGAAATAAACGGCTTTCAACCCCGGGTTTTTGGGCGTACTAGTACGCCAAATTCTAGCCCCTCAAATCCCAGTGGGGGAAAGCGGTAGGGGGCCCCCCAAAATGAAAGAATGGGTCTATGTGGAAAAGTGCCCTGGGATAAAAAAAAAACCTCCCGCCCACAGGCCTAATGAGAAAAAAAAAACCTTTTTACCATTTTTTTGGGAAAAAAACAGCGACTTTTCATGTATTTTCATAGGTATTTTTTTGTTTTATTCTAGTTTAGATGATTTTGATGGTTTTTTACAATGAAAATACCCTTTTTTAAAATTTAGCTTTAAAAATACAGAAATGTTTTATTTTTTATCAAAGTTCCAAAAAAAAAAAACAAATCATTTCCCCAAACGTCCAATTTACGTCAACTTTTTTTAGTCAAAATTCTTTTTCAAGTGCGGGCCCAAAATGATTCAACCATTTTTTACCCTAATGCAGTAGTCTGCATAACAGTTAAAAACTTTTTTTTTTGGGGAGAATAAAAAATTTAAAGTGGAAAGCAAAAGAATGTAAAGGGCCTTGAGACGTGACCCAATAACAAGGAAATGTCATTTTAGTGACCCGGGAAGAAATTTTTTGTTTTTTTCCTGGACCCAATTTTTGGAAATTGGGTTTTTTTTGAAAAATTTGTGTGAAATTGGCAAAATTGCTAATTCGACCATGAAATGGATATTTGAAATTGGGAAATGGGGGGTTTCTTGCACTCATTCAATAGAAAATATGGAGTTCTAGCGAAATATTCATGTTTTTTGTCGACTAGTACAGTGGAACTGGCTGAAAATGGGGCTCAAAGTGGGCAAAATCGCCGATCCGTAAACATCGCCGAGACCGCTAACTTCGCGTGAGCATAATTCCGTAAGTTTTCCATCAAATTTCATATTTTTGGTGTCATTATGATCGGGAAAAGATTCTCTATCTTTTCATAAGAAAAAATTATTATTTTTTTTTTTAAATTTGGCCGACCCTGAGAACGAGTCTCGGAGAGGGCCTGTCGACCCTCAAAGGGTTAAACTTTGAAGTAGGCACAATGGATTCCACAACTGGCATAGGCTGATCCAAGGAAGTAGAGCAGGAATATTTGGGATGGGGGTGGAAGTGGGAGGTGTGGGTGAGAGTGGTGTTGATCCGAGGAGTTAGAGATTACAAGAAAATAGATTTTTTTTGGGGGGGGGGAGATGGAGAGGGAGGTCTTGATCCAAGGAAGTAGAGCAGAAATATTTGGACATAGAGGGTAGAAGTGGGAGGTGTGGGGGGAGGGTGCTGATCCGAGGAGATGGGGAGCACAAAAAAATGAAAAAAAAAAAAAAAAATCGGAAAAAAATTTGGGGAGCGGGGGCGATCACCCTTTTCACCACAGGGTTGGCACTAAAAGCTTTCTTGGGGCCCATGGTGACTTATTTTGCAGCTACAAGCACTAAAACCACTGTGATAATATGAAATGTACCGAATGTATGCTTAGATGCGACTGCACTGACTGGCTGGCTTGTAAACACTGGCATGCACAGGGCAGCTGAGGCCACGCGGGACGCGTCCCGGACGAATCACGTGAGGCGAGTTTTTTATTGCGAAGCGAGGCAAAATTTTTGCATTCAAATGCTTCGTATGGCGGATTTAACGTAACACGATGTGTTCATAAGGCGGGGGTCCACTGTACTGATCAACTAACACAACATAGCACTGAGGCAAGGGAGGTTGTGTACATTACTTAGGCCTCCCCCATAAAACAATGGATTCACCCACAGACTCACTTTGAGACAGGCACTGGCAAGTGCCACATTTTCTCATACATGTGCTCCAATGTGTAAACAGATTATTAATACAGCATGTTCTCTGAAAATATGCCAAAATTTTGCAACTGTTAATGCAAAAGTGTTAACACATCACATATAAACCATCAGGCTACTGAAGTTCATTACTCAGAGCTTTTTTATGTTTATTGTAAAACAATACCTGTAAACCTATGTATATTCACGGAGAATAAAGATTTTATTTCATTGTATTTTTAGATGCCATGATTGTTCCCAGCACTGATTTAGGTACAGTATGTGAAGAGCAAAATCATCAATTCAAGTTTATGGGGAATTAATGTTGTTGTACAGGTCAGCCATCACTAATTCGGCATCACTGGGACTTGTAGTGTGCTGGATTAGAGAGTTTGCCAGATTACAGAGTGGTTAGGTTAGAATACACTTAACTAACCTATCAGAGACTTTCTGCTACATCTTCCTCATTTTCATCACTGCTTTCTCCTCCACTGGCTTGCTGCTGTGTATTTACAACCATCTGCACAATTTCTGAGTCAGTATAATGATAAAATTTGAGTCAGTATAATGATGAAATTTGAAATTATGCTAGCTGAAATTAGTGCCGGATTACTGGTGGAACCAGATAACTGACTGCCAGATTAGTGATGGCTGACTTGTACTGGGCACCCCGCTTTATGGTTTTGACCTAGATATGATATTTTCCCTGTATTCATATCCTACTTATAGCTTGAGGCATGTTTTTAAAAAGGTTAAAACAATAATCTTCGGGTAACTCAGTTTAATGTTCATACAATTATTTACAAGTCATACATACCATAAATATTATAATTATTATTACACAAAACTGCTGATCATTGCCAATGCACTGTTACTATTACAAATGTACTGTCAGAAAAATATTCATGTTCAACCCTTCAAAAAAAAAAAAAAAAAAAAAAAAAAAAAAAAGGCTTAAGGTACATGCTGTTAGAAAAATTTATTCAAAGTAGAAACACACAAAATGTCCCAGTAATGAATATCCTATTAACCTTCATTTCTTCTTGCTTGTGAGTCCAACGGTTCATAGCCTTGGTTTATCTGCTCTTTGAAGAGTTGGTATTTTCGCTTTCTGTCAAAATGCTTGACCCATGTTCCAGGACACAATTCAACATATTTATTTCTAAACTCTTTGCAAGTTTCATCAGTTCCTGAGGGATACAAGAGGGTGCCACAATGTTACTTACACGTTCCATGAATTTATTAATGGTACTATACAACCAATATACGAGAAAATCTACAGCTTAACAGGTACACGACAGGTACAAGATACAATGGAATCATAATGGATCATCTTGACTTAAGGCTAGGTTACTTTTATTTCTTCTTTCAAGAAAAACAATCATCTTGACTGGAGAGAACACTTAATCTTTACTAAGCTCTATCTACAAGTACATTACATAATGCCCTATTATACCTTCTACATTAACTGTATACTAATGTGTATTACACAATTGGACAGAATTCTACTATTAAATAAGACATTAATTCTAGCATTTAATTTCTATGTCTTACATAAACGTTTTAAAATTTATGCCAAATACTTAATAATTTAGATGGCTCTAGGAATTCAGTGGAGAATGCTTCAAATCATGTCTACATAATTCACATTTTTTGTCTTGAGGGATATCATCACACATTTAAACCCTTAGTCATTTGCATTTTTTTTTTCTTCCACTCTGGGAATAACAGTACACGACATAAAATAAAACCAGCTCATCCAACTCTGTCCTTGTTCTTCTTCCAGCCTTCATTCAACTACCATAGAAAACTGGTAACACATCTTGTACCACTGAATTTCTACTGTAAGTAATTTCCAGTATCTTCATCTCTGTTCAATCGCTCCACATTGAAATATTAAGTCACACTTTGGAATTGACCATTTGTTCATTAGCTACCTTTCTTACTGTACATATGACTGCAGTTCACTGAATAAAAAAAAAACTTTTTAATAGCCTGTCTAAATCTTATGTAAAAAATTTAAACATTATGATTAGTTTGCCTGAAATGCACTGCATAAAACTGGCTTTTTGTGCCTACCAATGTTTTATTCCATGTAAACTACATTACGTATTTGTACTGCATAAATAAAAATTGTATTGTAATAAAACACCCAGAAACCATGAAATCATTCTCAAAATATATATACATGTACTTATTAGCTACATGTCAGAATACTGACCTCCTAAGTCCAAGCATTCCCAGAGTTTGTCTCTTGATTCCCAGCATTGATAGCGAGATTCCTTATTTGGGAACTGGGTGGAGTGCTCACCTGTTTCCCTAGGCATATTGATACTGAAAATGAAATGCCATCTTTAATAATTTTTTTTAACAAAACAAATAGTCTATTATACTTATTTATATATTTATGGAGAACTGTAAACCCATATGGGCCATACAAGACCTGGTGAATGAAAAATAATTAATTTTTATAACACATCAGCCATTTCCCACTGAAGCAGAGTGATCCAAAAAGAGGAAACTTCATCATCACTCGCTCCATCCCTGTCTTTCCAGAGGCGTGCCAATACTACAGTTCAAAAACTGCAAAATATCTCCACCCCTCTTTAAGGTTTGATCTGAGAGAAGTAGCTCCAATTCTTCACATCAAGAGCTCTTCAACAACACTAAGGTACTCCCCTCGAGATTATGACAATGAAAGAAAAGGTTGAAGAGTTAAACCGTTGGTGTAAAATGCACCGACTACTAACTCTGTGCCTGCATAATTCCCTAAGTATTATATCAATTTCATATTTTTGGTGCCATTACCTTCATTAGAAGATTCTATACCATTTAAGATTTTTTTTTTAAATGCAGACACCGAGCACTTTCAATATCGGAGGTCTGGATAGTGAAAGGGTAAATGCGATGTTGGTCAAGTGATAAATATTCGATGTGCTCAACTTGCATTCTAATGACATAAGAAATTTTTGGTCAGTTCATTGAGATTTTGTCAAAGCTATAGAAGAGTTAGGAAGAGTCATTGTTTCACCGGTTGGAGTGAGAGAAGAAGATAATTGATGCATCAGCTTCCAGGTTATCCATGAGAGGAAGTACTAGGGAGAGACTTTCTTCACTGAGATTTCTCTGAGGTTTCTTTTCCAGAGCTGACATGTAGAATAAGCAGGGATGGGAGGTTTGCCTGCTTTTGCACACATCTGCCACAAGGTGACAATATCCCAACCTGAATCTAAATGTCACAGTCTAGTGGACATTTTGCATTGCCCATACACTTAACTTTTTAACGGGAACAAATCATAGTACTACTTAATACTACTGCTTTCAGGTCTCAGGGAATCTCGTGTTTTCTCATCTTCTAGAGCTGATATCTTTCCGCAGGATGGACTTTTAACAATGGTCAAAGGGATGCCCAATTAGAACTCCACCTCCAGCCTGTCACAAGTAGACATAGCTTTTTTATCAGTGTTATCATGACAGCTGATTCCTATGTGGGAAGGTATCTTTACAAATGAAATACAAAGCTTTTGTCTGGAGCACTTCTCAGGTCATTTTTACTGTCTTTTATGATGTTCCTGGTGTTTATTTTGTAAGTATGATTCTCAAGTGCTTGAAGAGCAGACTTAGTCACAGAAGATTATCCCTCCTTGTTTTTTAATATGTTGATGGTGTTTCAGTGCAGCTAAGACTCTTAGTTGTACCGAGTTATTCAGTCTGATGCTACTAGACTTTATACACATGTTAACCTTGTGTATTTTGCAGGATGCTGCAGTTATGACACACCAGACTGCTGAACTTTGCCATCAGTGTAATGGTCCCCCGTGGCCTGGTGGCAAAAGTACTCGCTTCAAACGCTAAGGGTCCGGGTTCAATTCCCAGCGAAGGGGTGGTAACATTGGGTGTGTTTTCTTTCCCGGTTGTCCATGTTCACCCATCAATAATAATGCTACCTGCCCATTTAATTCTGTTTACCACTACTTTTTTTAGTCCCTTTTATATTGTGTGTGCAATTAGTGTATATTCCAATTACATTATTGTGCGAGTCTCAAAACTATTTTTTGCTAGCTAGTACCAACTACCTCATATTTCTCTACTTTTTATAGTGCAATTAATTGCTCAACTTATTATACATTACAAATCAGATCTTACTCCCAAATCAATATTATATCATAGTGACTATCTGTCCATTGAACTTTGTTCACCATTACTTAATTTAGTCCCTTATATATTTTCTCCTTTATTTTAGCTTTATATAACTACCTTGGTTCATATATTCACAATTGTTAAAATAATCAAAGTGCTATTCTCAGGGGCTAAAGTGTAATAAGTTCACTATTTTGCCATTATATTCCCAAGCTCATTTATTTTTATTTTTTTTTCTCTCTCTCCTCTTGTCCATATACATACTCACATTTATTTATTTATTTATTTATTTTATTTATTTATTTAGAAATTTAGCATACATACAGAGGTACAAAAAAATACAGGTAAGAGCAGCATGCCAAAGCCACTTATGTGCATAGCATTACGGGCTGGCTTACAATTAACTTAAGATTAACTAAGCAATGATGAAATCAGTGATAAGACATTATTGTAAACAGATAACTATAAAATACAAATGAGTATTACAAAGACAGGTCATATGGTTGCATGCATTGCTGTTCATTCAGTAGAATGGAGTATTCTGTTAGGTAGTGTATTTAAAAAAAATAACAAAGTTAGGTTTAACATTTGTGTGATATAATTGTGAGTAACATTTAGGATATACAATTTATATGGTTCAGTTATTCAGTATTTATTTGGTTTTGAGTGAGTAAGTGAACTTTGAGAAGAGACTTGAATTTATAAACAGGTAGTGTTTCTTTTATATTTACAGGTAATGAATTCCAGATTTTAGGGCCTTTTATGTGCATTGAGTTTTTGCATAGCGTGAGATGGACACGAAGAACATCAAAGAGTGATCTGTGCCTTGTATTATGGTCATGTGTTCTGTTGAGGTTGGCAAGGAGATGTTTGAGGGGAGGGTTAATATCAGAGTTAAGTGTTCTATGTATGTAATAAGTGCAATAATAAGTATAGATGTTTTGTATGGTGAGTAGGTTGAGTGTTTTGAATATTGGTGGAGTGTGCTGCCTGTATTGAGAATTTGTTATCATTCTAACTGCAGCCTTTTGTTGGGTAATTAGTGGTCTGAGATGGTTAGTTGATGTTGAGCCCCATGCACAAATTCCATAGGTAAGATAGGGGTAAATAAGAGAGTGATAGAGGGCCAGGAGGGCTGACTGTGGAACATAGTACCGTATCTTCGATAGTATGCCTACAGTCTTGGAAATTTTCTTAGAAATTTGTTGTATATGTGTATGAAATTTGAGTCTATTATCGAGGTGGATTCCTAAGAATTTTCCCTCTGTTAGCTTTGTGATAGGTGATCCGTTTATCGTTATGTTAAGAGGTACATCTGTAGCTCTGCTACCAAACTGAATGAAGTAGGTTTTGTCAATGTTTAGTGTAAGTTTGTTAGTCCTCATCCAGGTAGATATTTTCTGTAATTCGGTGTTTACAGTATTGGCTAGCGCGACTGGGCTCGGGTGAGAGAAGACGTATGTGGTGTCATCTGCAAAAAGTGTGGGTTTGAGTAATTGCTCCAGTAATACTCCAGGTGCTATTGACTACCTCAGGTGCTACTGATTTTGCTTTTAATACGTTCTTTTATTATATCCATTAGCTCCTTTATTTTAACTATAAATATCTACTGTAGTTCATAAACTCACTTGTTAAAATAATTAAGGTGCTATTAGATACTTAAGTGTATAACTGAATTATCAATTCTGTAATAATCCCTTTTTCTTTCAAATTTTTACAAGTTTTAGATTAATCACGGAGTCTTAGTCATAAGTCTAGTTGTAGATTCAATATAAATCTTATATCATTTTACTCAGAAAATCTAGTTTGTAAAATTACTCTCATCCTATGATTACAGGCATAGATCCTGATGTAAACTTTTTACAAAATGAATTACATGAATCAACCAATAACTGTAATTACTACACAGCAGATCAAGCAAAGCCATTACTCAGTGCAAACAATAACATAACTATCTTTAACTACAATGTCAGATCCTTGAGCAAACATTATGATGACCTCACAGCATTACTCAATTCCCTTCATTCCAATATGTCAATCATCACACTCACAGAAACCTGGCTTAAGCCTGATATTAGATTTCTATACCATTCCTGGCTACATGGCCATATACAACTGTAGAACAGACCAGCAAGGGGGAGGAACAGCTATATACTACTCAAATCAACTCGAATGTATCAATAAATCTTGCACAAGGGACGAGCATGGAGAATATATCATAGCCAAATTTAAATCAAAAGACCTGCAAAAACCCCTCAAAGTTATAAACATCTACAGAGTACCACAGTCAAACATTTATCACTTTAGTGAAAAACTAGGAAACATGATTACTGATGCACACATGAATAAAGACCACCTACTACCAACAGGAGATTTCAACAAACATACTACACGACCATGACCCACAAGTAACTGAATTCACAAACACAATGAGTAACTGCCCGTTGCTACCAGCAATATCTAAACCTACAAGAATCTCTGAGACAAGCATCTCCTTAATAGACCACATCTGGACAAACACCATATCCCCTTTAAAATCAGGCATAATCACAGACAACACTACAGACCACTACCCAACCTTCCTCATAACTAATCTGGGCAAACTGCCACAAGACATTACTAAAGTAACCTTCAGACTACATAACGAGACAGCAGTTAACAACTTTATAGCAGCTATCAATAACATTGATTGGCAAAACGAGCTCGAAACATATACAGATATGAATGAATGTATAAATAATTTTCTAAACAAAGCCCAATGCCTCTATAACAGACATTGCCCCAGAAAAACTAAACAGATCACAGCAAAGAGAGTAATCTCTGGCTAACACCAAGCATCCTCAAATCCATTAACACAAAGCACAAATATGAAAAACAGTATAGAATGGGTCAAATAACCAGAGAACAGTCGAAAAATTACTTGTCAGCCCTTACCAGCCTGATAAGAAGGTCAAAAAAATTGTATTATGAAAATAGATTACATAACATCAAAGGTGATATGAAAAAAAACTGGAAAACTATCTGAAATTCTTGGAACTAAAAAGTTATCCAAAAACAAAACAATCAAACTAACAAAATCAGATGAACCCCTACTCACTCCAACCGAAACAGCGAACAGACTTAATGTTTTCTTCTCCACCATAGGAAAAAATCTAGCAAACAAAATACCAAGCACAAACACCCGTCCATCAAACTATCTCATAGGTACCTACCCAAATACGCTATTCCTAGCTCCAACCAACCCCATTGAAGTTACGCTCATCATAAACACCCTTAAAAGCAAGGCAGGAGACATAAACAACTTGCCTGCTTTTATGTACAAAAAAGCTTCTCAAGTATTGTCACCAATTATTGCAACGCTCTTTAACAAATCCATTGAATCATCTACCTTCCCAACAATCCTCAAAATAGCGAGGGTCACTCCGATCCATAAAGGTGACCAAGCTGACTTGAATAACTATAGACCAATATCTAACTTATCACTGCTCTCTAAAATCTTCGAAAAATTAATTCATAGACGGATCTATTCCTACCTCATTTCACACAACACATTAAACCCTTGTCAGTTTGGATTCAGGAATAATAAAAGCACAAATGATGCTATCATACACATGCTAGAACTAATATATACCGCACTTGAAAAGAAAGAAGTCCCGCTGGGCATTTTCATTGATTTATGTAAAGCTTTCGATACAGTCGACTATGAACTGCTGTACTCCAAATTAATGCACTATGGTATCAGAGGCCACTCCCTCAACTACCTAAAATCATACCTTAGTAACAGAACTCAATATGTGTATGCAAATGATGCAAACTCTTCCACCCAACCAATCACAGTAGGTGTCCCACAAGGAAGCGTCCTTGGACCATTCCTCTTTCTCATCTACATCAATGATCTACCGAATGCATCACAGCTGCTCAAACCAATATTATTTGCAGATGACACTACACATGTCTTTTCCCACCCAAACACAGTCATACTAGGAAACACAGTCAATGCTGAATTACAGAAAATATCTGCCTGGATGATGACTAACAAACTTACCCTGAACACTGATAAAACCTATTTCATTCAGTTTGGAAACAAAGCTGCAAATGATCCAATTAACATAACGCTAAATGGATCATCAGTCACAAGACTCACAGAGGGAAAATTTCTAGGTATGCACCTTGACAGTAGCCTTAAGTTCCGGATACACACACAACAAATCATCAAGAAAATCTCCAAGACTGTAGGCATACTATCAAAGATAAAGTACTACGTTCCACAATCAGCTCTCCTGGCACTGTACCATTCACTCGTATACCCTTATCTTACATATGGAATTTGCACATGGGGATCAACAACATCCAATCACCTAAAAACCCTAATAACCCAGCAAAAGGCAGCAGTAAGAATTTTAACAAATTCCCAGTCTCGCCAGCATACTCCACCAATTTTCAAAAGTCTGAATCTGCTTACCATTAAGAACATCCATACTTACTCATGTGCCTACTACATACACAGAACAATACACTCAAATATAAACCCCCCACTCAAACTTCTCCTCACCAACCTAAACAGGACACATGACCACAACACAAGACACAGATCTCTTTTTGATATACCTCGTGTCCATATCACACTGTGTAAAAACTCTATGCACATAAAGGACCCCAAAATATGGAATTCATTACCAGAAGATATTAAAGTAACCCAGTCTGAAAATCAATTTAAGACTCTTCTCAAAAGCCACTTAATCACCCTAGACTAAATGCTAAATACTCAGTGCACACTTACTTATGTACTCCCACATAATAACTTCAACAATCACTTTGAACCTTTTATCCATTGTTGACAGGAATATAACTGAATCATTTTCACAAAAAGCATTTTTGATTATATGAATATATCTTTTGTCTTATACAAATTTTGATTCATTTATAATTAATATTCTACTGTACAACTATGAAATAATTACTATCCTACTGTACAACTATGATATAATCCTTTTATTTATTTATTTATTTATTTATTTATTTATTTCCAATTTGAGCACACATACAGAGGTACAAAAAAATACAGATAAGAGCAGCATGCCAAAGCCACTTATACTATGCATAGCATTACGGGCTGGCTTAAAATTAACTTAAGATTAACTAAGCAATGATGAAATCAGTGATAAAACATTAATGTAAACAGATTACTATAAAGCACAAGTGAGTATTACAAAGACAGGTCATATGGTTGCATGCATTGTTGTACATTCAGTCATATGAAGGATTCTGTTAGGTAGTGTATTTAAAAAATAATAAAGTTAGATTCGGTTTTAGGTTTAACATTTATGTGATATAATTGTGAGAAACATTTAAGATATACAATTTATAAGGTTCAGTTATTCAGTATTTATTTGGTTTTGGGTGAGTAAGTGATCTTTGAGAAGAGACTTGAATTTATAAACAGGTAGTGTTTCTTTTATATTTACAGGTAATGAATTCAGATTTTAGGGCCTTTTATGTGCATTGAGTTTTTGCATAGTGTGAGATGGACACGAGGAACATCAAAGAGTGATCTGTGCCTTGTGTTATGGTCATGTGTTCTGTTGAGGTTGGCAAGGAGATGTTTGAGGGGAGGGTTAATATCAGAGTTAAGTGTTCTAGGGTTAATATCAGAGTTAAGTGTTCTATGTATGTAATAGGTGCAGTAATAAGTATGGATGTTTTGTATGGTGAGTAGGTTTAGTGTATTGAATATTGGTGAAGTGTGCTGCCTGTAGTGAGAATTTGTTATTCTAACTGCAGCCTTTTGTTGGGTAATTAGTGGTCTGAGATGGTTAATTGTTGTTGAGCCCCATGCACAAATTCCATAGGTGAGATAGGGGTAAATAACAGAGTGATATAGGGCCAGGAGGGCTGACTGTGGAACATAGTACCGTATCTTCGATAGTATGCCTACAGTCTTGGAAATTTTCTTAGAAATTTGTTGTATATGTGTATGAAATTTGAGTCTATTATCAAGGTGGATTCCTAAGAATTTTCCCTCTGTTAGTTTTGTGATAGGTGATCCGTTTATCATTATGTAAGAGGGACATCTGTAGCTCTGTTACCAAACTGAATGAAGTAGGTTTTGTCAATGTTTAGTGTAAGTTTGTTAGTCCTCATCCAGGTAGATATTTTCTGTAATTCGGTATTTACAGTATTGGCTAGCGTGACTGGGCTCGGGTGAGAGAAGACGTATGTAGTGTCATCTGCAAATAGTGTGGGTTTGAGTAATTGCGAAGCATTTGGTAGGTCATTTATGTATAGGAGAAAGAGAAGAGGGCCAAGGACACTTCCCTGTGGGACACCAACTGTAATTGGTTGCGCAGAAGAGTTTGCCCCATTTGCGTACACATATTGGCTTCTGTAGACTGTAAACCAATAATGTTAAGTTGGCCCATAATGCCAAGGCATAATAGAGGCTCTCTTTGCATTGCAACCCACTATTGTAAATACATAATCTCAGTGTACTGTTTGCAAAGACAAAATAAATAAATAAATAAATGTGTACCTGGGTGTTCGACTGGTGTGGGTCGCATCCTGTGACTAAACCTACATAATTTACCCGAAATACTCTGCATAACAAGTGGCTTTCTGTATAATATGTCAGTGACGTCAGCTAGACCTGTATACCTTGTATTATATACATAGTAACATATGCGTAAATTACCTAGGATAACTCAAAAAATGTCAGGTATTGTATAATGTACTTAATACTGGAAACTTTACATAAAAATAAAAAACCCACTTTTCCCTTAACTGATGAGGCAGCAATGACATACTGATGAGCTTATAAATGTTTCTGTACTTACTACTTCTTGTTGGGTTTATAAAGGCAACTAACAACTCACGTAGTATCAAATCTTTCTTCCCAGTGCAAGTAAGAGGGAGAGTAAGTTCATTCAGGTATACACATATACAGTTACATAGAATTATCATACATAGCAGCATATGTGTAGGGAACCTAGGTAACCCTAAAAAGTCAGATAGAGTGACTTATTTCCACTGGGGTCCTTAATAAATATATTACCCAAAGCTCAGCCACGAAAGAAAAGGCAACAAAAGTCCCTTTGTAAATATAAACAGAAAATAGAAGTTCACAATTAGATCTGGTGGACACCCTCGCCAAGCTCCAGGAGAGCGGGACACCAACACACTCACTTGAGTTCAGTAACCGGCTTCTCACCAAAACCGTTAAAGAAATATTCAAATTCAAACTTTATTCTCTAAGTATTACAATGCTGAGTTTACAGAATTTGGTTATTGTGTGGTTTACATGTAGTAAAATAATAATTACAGAGTGCACCACTAGAACGCCTAGCATGGCTAGGCATTTCGGGCAGACTTATATTAAATCTTAGGTTTAAAATGTTACAAAATTATGAGATAAGTTGGTATTATGGCTAAGTGACTAAATACTAGTTGTGAGTTTAGCAATGTGAATGCTTTTGTTTTGGCACTACATAGTTTCAGTATTGGAGTATCACAGGCCAACTTATGACTAGTTAAGATTCATTATTTTGAGATTGAGATTGATATTTCTGTTTATGGTCAAATGGGTGAGTGAGTGTAAGTGTGAACCACCAGGTGGTATTCGTATTATTAGTTGACAGGGTGTATCAGGGAGATAAGATGTTTTCTGATGGTAGTTTTGAAGGTGATGAATGTCTGCAGTTTTGGAATTTTCAGGTAGGGTGTTCCAGATTTTAGGGCCTTTGACATACATTGAATTTTTGTAAAGGTTTAGTCGGACACGGGGAATGTCATAGAGATGTTTGTGTCTGGTGTTGTGCCTGTGGGTTCTGTCACAACTATCGAGAAAGCGTTTTAGGTCAAGGTTAATATTGGAATTTAAGGTCCTGTAGATGTAGATTGCACAGTAGTAAGTGTGGATGTACTGAACAGGGAGTAAGTTTAGATCTATGAAGAGTGGGGGGGGGGGGGGTGTTGCCAGGGATGGAATTTAGTGATTATTCTTACTGCGGCTTTTTGTTGGGTTATTATTGGCTTTAGGTGTGTTGCTGCAGTTGAACCCCAAGCACAGATAGCATAGGTGAGGTATGGATATATAAGTGAATAGCGGCAGAACAGAAAAATAGAAGAAACGTTTCGCCACACAGTGACTTCATCAGTCCATACAAAGAAGAGTGATGAACATTAAAATGGTATAAAATACCGACAGATTGTTAGGTAAGACACACATGATGCAACAGTTAGGTATCTTTATTTCGAAACGTTTCGCCTACACAGTAGGCGAAACGTTTCGAAATAAAGATACCTAACTGTTGCATCATATGTGTCTTACCTAACAATCTGTCGGTATTTTATACCATTTTAATGTTCATTCTGTCAGACACTGCAACACAAGGGTATCTTGGTACAGACCATCAACTTCGACCTCTACTAGTGAGAACGGCTGGGTTTGAGAGGGACCTGCCCTCCCAAAGCAACCTACGTCTCACCTCCTGGCACTATATAAAGGCTCCATCCTGTCACTTCAACTTCATATTGTTTCAGACAACGGAACAATGCTCTTCTCCAGACTGAGGGACTGACCACCTCAAAACTTTAAGGGTGATGGACTGATTACATCGTCTTCAAGTATCTTCTGCTTCTGTCAACTTTTCTGTACTCGACTGAAGAAGCCTACTGTGTAGGCGAAACGTTTCGAAATAAAGATACCTAACTGTTGCATCATGTGTGTCTTACCTAACAAAGAAGAGTGATGCAAGGAGAGGAGTAGTTTGAGGTAATCAGTCCCTCAGCCTGGAGTCGATGTGTTCAGTTCATCAATCTTGTAGAAAGTACAGCATAGGGTTAGGTTAGGTAAGGTTTGTCAGGAAACAGGGCAAGTGTTTTGTGACGCGAGTCTTAATCAGATAATGACCCGCCTTTGGAGCTTTGGTCATCTGACTGAGGCCTTCCGCAGGTTTACCGGTCCACCCCTTTAAAAATAAGGATATAATTATATATTGCAGCATAGGGCCGTAGAAGTGGCTTATATACTGTAGTCAGGTGTGGCGAAACAGGAGGAGGGGGTCACAGTGGAACCATCAACATCTGCTAGTTTAGTTTAATATCTTCATTATGCACCCCATACCCATCCTGTGGGCGGTAGTCAAAAGATTACAGAGGTACATAATGGGTCCAGGGACTGGACTCCAAAGTTTTGATAGCTGAACAAGTTACAAGGGTAATGAGCTAGATCTGGTCACAATCATGACCAAGTCACTAAAGTAATGAGCTCCAGGTAGAGCTGGTCACAATCATGAAAAGTTACAGAGGTAATGAATCATAAACACGTCCATTCATGGTTACAGTCATGAACAAATTAGAGAGTAATGAGCAATTAACAAACATTCTAGGGAATGCATCCATTGCCCCAACAACGGATGTTGCTAGGTGCCTGTCCCTCCTTGGCAGGACAGCCAGACAGCCATTGCAAACAGCAGCAGGTTGTGCCAGGATCCGCTGCTTGCAGAAGCACCATCAACCCTCCCCAAGAGGTCAGCGACTCCACTAGCAGCTACAGGGAGAGCTGCCTTGGGGACGTGTCAACATACTGGTGGACGCCAATTTGATTGCAGATCCCGGGCTCTTTATAAAGGTGAAGGAGCGGCAGCTGTTACCTCAGTCTGCTGGGAGGGGCTGTTGGCTGTTCCCACCTGGAGTCCTCTGGGTGCCCAGACATCCACCGTGCGCACGGATGTTGAAGCTTGAGGAACTGAGTGCATACTGCCTATGGCTGTCAGACGCTGTAACAATGGGATTTTGATACAAAGAATTCTTCAACTCTTGTCCAATCTTTGGACGAAGACCTACTAAGACTAGTGGATGGTTCCACTAGGATCCCGCTTCCTGCTTCGCCTCACCCGACTACAGTATATAAGCAATTTCTACGGCCCTGTGCTGTACTTTCAACAAGATTGGACTGAACACATCGACTCCAGGTTGACGGACTGATTACTTCAAATTCCCCCTCTCCTTGCATCACTCTCCTTTGTATGGACTGATGAAGCCACTGTGTGGCGAAACGTTTCTTCAGTGAAGATTCCCATATGTTGCATAAGTGTCTTCAGCTTGTCGGTTTCTAAACCATTTATCACAGAAAAACAGAGCTGGCTAAAATTTAGCAGGTGCTCTTACAACGTACATACGTACGTACGTACGCGCGCGCGCGTGTGTGTGTGTGTGTGTGTGTGTGTGTGTGTGTGTGTGTGCGCATGCGCGCGTGTATGTGCGCGCGCGTTTGTGTGTGTACTCCGCTAGTTGTGGTTGCAGGGGTCGATTCACAGCTCCTGGCCCTGCCTCTTCACTGGTTGCTACTAGGTCACTCTTCCTGCTCCATGAGCTTTATCATATCTCTTCTAAAAGCTATGTATGGATTCTACCTCCACCACATCACTTCCCAGACTATTCCACTTCTGACAACTCTGTGACTAAGAAATACTTCCCAACATCCCTGTGATTCATGAGTCTTCAACTTCCAAATGTGACCCCTTGTTACTGTGTCACAAATACTAGAAACAGCACCGGTCTTAGGACTGACCCAAGTGGAACCCCGCTCGTCACAGGCACCCACTCTGACACCTTGACTCACTGCTGTCTTCCTGACAGGTATTCCCTGATCCACTGCAGTGTTTTCCCTGTTATCCCTGCCAGGTCCTCCAGTTTTTGTACTAATCTTGTGTGGAACTGTGTCAAAAGCCTTCTTACAGTCCAAGAAAATGCAGTCTACTCACCTCTCTCTCTTGTCTTACTGCTTCACCCTGTCATAGAACTCCAGTAGGTTTGTGACATAGGATTTCCCATCCCTGAAACAGTGCTGGTTGTCACTGAGAAGCTCATTCCTTTCTAGGTGTTCCACCACTCTTCTGATAATCTCCTCCATGTCTTTGTATACTATACATGTCCATGACACTAGTCTGTAGTTTAATGCTTCATGTCTGTCTCCTTTTTTTTTTAAAATTAAGACACATTTGCTGTTTTCTATACCTCAGGTATTTGCTCTGTTTCGATAGATGCATTAAAGATTGTTGTTAGTGGTATACACAGTGCCTCTGCTCCCTCTCTCAAGACCCATGGAGGGATGTTATCCAGCCCCATCGCCTTCGAGGTATCTAGCTCACTTAACAGGCTCTTCACTTCTTTCTCAGTACGTATTGTGTCCAACACTTGATGGTGTACCTCACCTCTCCATCTTTCTGGAGTCCCTTCTGTCTCCTCTGTGAACACTTCTTTGAATCTCATGCTGAGCTCCTCACATACTTTGCGGTCGTTTCTTGTGATCTCCCCTCCTTCCTTCCTCAGCCTGATTACCTGGTCCTTGACTGTTTTCCTCTTGATGTGGCTGTACAACAGCTTTGGGTCAGATTTGGCTTTCACTATGTCATTTTCGTACTGTCGTTGGGCATCCCTTCTTACCTGTGCATATTCATTTCTGGCTCTACGACTGCTCTCCTTATTCTCCTCGGTCCTTTGTCTTCTATACTTTTTCCATTCTCTAGCACACTTGGTTTTGGCCTCTCTACACCTTTGGGTGAATCAATGGCTCATCTGGCTTTCTCCTTATTTCTGTTACCCTTGGGTACAAACCTGTCCTCAGCTTCCAGGCCCCGTGACCTGGCTGGCAAAGCTCTCACTTCACACACGGAGGGTCCGGGTTCGATTCCCGGCGGGGTGGAAACATTTCGACGTGTTTCCTTACACCTGTTCACCTAGCATATAGGTACCCGAGTGTTAGTCGACTGGTGTGGGTCGCATCCTGGGGGGCAAGATTGAGGACCCCAATGGAAATAAGACAGTCCTCGATGATGCACTTTCTTGACTTATCCTGGGTGGCTAACCCTACGGGGTTAAAA